AACTTTCAAGAGTTGTGACATCACAGTCCCAACATTCTCAATGGCCTCCCAAAGGCATGGACAGTTGAAGCATGCGGCAAACCAAAGATCCTAAAGAATATGTTTACAATTTCACCTTTTTTGTGGACCCAGCCTCTAGGGCGTGTTCTTTTTGAACTTCACTTCTGGGGGGAACCCGTGTTCTGCTCATTCTGCTGCTGGTGCCGTCGTCCATGTCATCGTCGACCTCATGGTCGGTGTCCACTGGCTCAGGCTCATCTTCACCTCGTGCTGCTGCGCATGGGTCAGTGGCTGGGAGCCCCAAGTCGAAGGACGCAGCTTGTCCCTCCTCCGTGGTCTTATCTACAAAGGTTTCTTCATTCTCATCATCGAAACTGCCGGTTGTTTGCACATCCACCCAATACTCCTTGATGTGGCTCTGGTATTTGTCCCGCCTGCATGGGGGCTAACCGAAGATGGGGGAGTAGAAAGATCAAAACCCATGTGGACACCATGATTTTTGAAATTCTCAAAGAGAAATTGGGCCCCCAAGCCTGACGTGAGTCTTGGCTCTGCGTGGGTCAGCGCAGTATTTCACTGCAGCTTTAATCCTATCCCTCAGTTGTTTGCGGGGACCCGGGATGGGAAGGAATTCAGATTTCAAGCTCATACTGCTATTGGTCAATTGGTGAAGGGCTGATCTAAGAAGGGGACGCATCCCATCCTAAGTCCTTCTTCATGTTTGCTTTGGTGTAGAACCCCTTTTCCACATGCAAGTTGTTCTTCCGGGACTTTTTCTGCTGGTGCTCGATGGTTTTCAGAAATACTTCCTTTGAGGGGATCTGACAACCGCGTGTTGGTACATTGTTCTATCTTCATATGGGGTGTTCAATGATAAAATTAAAACCAAAACATGGAGACAATAAACAACACTGGTCCTTGTTGCCCTTAGATTTCACCAACATGTCCAACAAGCATTTTCGCTGTTGACCTCCAGCTTTGAACTGCCTGTGGATCTCCTGGGAAACCTCCAGCTTTCCGCTGGCAGGTTTCGGCATACAAATGCGGCGCAAAGCAGCAGCCAACGACGACATCATCCTGGCATCGTCATCTGCATCAGCCTGCGGTGGCGGGAGGTTAACTAGGAGGGGCGAGTTTTGTGCATCAATTGGAGATATTTGGGGTTTGTACATGTGCTTGGTAAACCTATTGTAATGTACTGTAATCTACTGTGCTCCGAATATTATAGCTACATAGCTAAGTAGGTAAGTATGCATGTGTATGCATGCCTGTGCGTATGCATCTAAACAGGTACGTGCGTAAGAAGACACTTTAGCCTATTTTGAACACATGCTGGGCCCATCTTAAGCCACTATTAGGCCATCTGGCTGGCCAAGCTAGCCCAAACAACCAAACAAAAGCTAAGATTCTTGGCTTGGAGCCTTTTCGGGGGGTTAGGATCATTTCTTACTCCTACTGGTAAAACAAATTCTACTCAGGGGTGGATGTTGGGCTTATGTTGTAGTTTATGTATGCTAGTTTGGGTGTCGTTGGATGGTTTTACTGAATGTTTATAGCTGTGTACTTTTAAACACCTAAAAATACGGGTACTTATCGAACCGAATGGTATAAAGTTTGAAGTGTAGCTGCTAGCTGAGTAGGTGTGTGTGTGTATACACAAACATAGTATAGATTCTATGTGTACCTATATTTGTTCTTTTGTTTACTCTTGACCAAACACTGTTCATTATATCTATATATATATATATATCTATCTCCCTCTCTCTCTCCCCCTCTCTCTCTCTCTCTATCTCTTTCTGTCTCTCTCCATATCTCTCTCTCTCTCTCTAGCTAGACATTAAGTACATTCCCTGCTACTGTTCAAAAATTCAAGGGCCCCTGATGGTGGTGCGAAGCATCCATCTCCATGCCCAGCCATCCTTTTCCCAGATTCCTGGCCTTCTTGGGTTCGGTATCCCTTTCAGTCTCTGCTGCCTGCACCAGAATGGTGCAGGAAAGCAGCATCAAATTCAAATGCATGTGGGGAAAACCAAGGGCAACCATTCCACAGCACTCAGTTAAAAGGTTTCAGTTCGAAGACAGTGCTCTAGTCAACGCTTATATTATATGAATTGAAATTCTACGTGGCCTCTTTAGGATGTCCCTTAGAGGCGTCTGGCTTCGAGCCCGAAGATGTCGCCTTTGGTATGCTGGTCTCCTGCCCCATTCCCCACCCAAGAAAAGGGCTGCATGAGATGAAACATACTTCAAGGTTACAAAGTAAAAACAGACTGGGGTCGGGAAGTTGGGCCAATGTCCCTGTTGAAAACAAATCTACATCCCTATCCTGGTCAACATTCTTCAATGCCTTTGCTGAACTGGGTGGGGATGCTTTTGTCTTCGGACATGGGCTATGGGTAGCGAAGGATTCGACCGAGCTCGCCCTCTGAGGCGGATCAGCAGGCATCGCCTTCAGCTTTCGCAGGCGCTCCTTTGCAGCCTGGGTCGTGGCTTGGGAACACGGCGCGGGGTGGACAGGATAGTGCCACCAAATGGACTCTAAATGGGAGCTTTGTCGGCTTCAACATTTTGCAACCCTGAAACAGCAACAAGTCCATCAAAGGTCAACTCCTTGTTCGCCTCCCTTTGCTCTGCAAGGAAGCTAGACCCCCGGTATAGTGTCGCACATGACCATTGTCGGGTAGGTGGCTCCGACGCCATGTTTGTCCAGGCACCAGTCGCAACCCTTAAACCATTCACTGCAACACTTTGGCATGTGGAACATTGCACGATGGGACCTCCGAATGTGGGCAAACATGCCTAAGATGCATTGTGCTCGCCTGGAATGTAAATTGTGTCCCAAAACATCTCTAAACTCGAAATCTTTCAGGCTCTTTCCAGTGCCAAGGTCGATCACCCATGAATTGGCGCGTGTGAACAGCACTAAGCTCGCACACGAGAGTGAATTTCCCGAATACCGGGGACAGCCCAAAGTTGCCTATTTTAGGAGTACAAAATGGACGGTTTTTTACGCCACTTTGACTTGTATTTACGCCACTGTCCCCGATTTCTGCCACTGTTGCCTATTTTCCTAGAGTCTGCACAAAACGGGATCGAATTGTTGTTTCCACGACTCGTGGATTAGTTAGGGGTTGCCCCCCGTAGGCCTATTGGCGGTTTCAGGGATGTCCTTTGGCAACCTACAGCCTTCCCAAGCTTCTGGTAAGTTAAGGAAGAAGCCCCCCTGGAGATATTCCACGACCTCATACATCCGTGCTTCTTCATATAGATCATCAAGTCCCGGGATTGGAGTCACGTGCCAGGAGCGAATATCTTCTGCATCCGGAGCCTCAGGTTCGCTGATGGAAGTGGCGAACATGGGTGGTGACAGGCTTTTGTAGCCTTACCCCTTGGGATATAATCTGAAAATATGTGTAACAGAACCCTGCCCTGATTCATTTTATTCTGAATTTACGAGGCATATGCGGTGTCAATATTTTTAGACACGGGGAACCCCGGAATCATGGGCCGTTCATTTTTTTAGATGATTTGAGAGTATACCACCATTTTTACAAAGCCTCCTTATATATATATAATTATACCTATCTACCTATCTGTCTATGTATCTATCTATCTATCTATCTATCTATCTATCCATCCATCCATCCATCTATCTATCTATCTATCTATCTGCCTATATATATATATGTATCGATCCATCGATTTTTTGTAAATTAGTTTTTACGTGGTAAGCAAACATTTTGTTGAAACGGTATTTGGGGCTCCACTTTGAACCGGTCGTGTAAGTCTAGGTGCCCATTTTGGTTGTTTCAACGACGACCTTTCCTTTTTCAGGTGCTTCATGCTTTCTGCGAATCGAACTCCAAAGCCCACAGGGTATTCCCTTAGCTGCATGGAAATATGAAGAAAATAGGAAGGCAAACAAGAACGACATCCATCCTATGATTTAGATTACGCCTAGGTGCTGACTTCTGCGAAGATTTGCATTTCCTTTAAATCTCTTCCTCCCAAGGGCATCTCGGTAGGTGTCAGCCAATTTTGGGGTAGCACCACCACGACCCTTCTTGGCTTTCTTCGATGTGCAAAAAAATCGGACACCACTGCTGTTACTCCAAAGAGTAGTTCTCTTTGGCATTTTGCTGCCAAAGCCCCGCATCCAAAATGATTGCCGGAAGACCTTGGCCAGGCAGCGAAGAAACACTGGCTGGGACCCCATCTCCTAGAATCACCCAAAAAGGGAGGATGGTAACTGCAAATGGGAAGTAACTTACAACATGTTCCCCCTTCTGGCGGTTTGCCATTTCAGTGATGATTTGTGCAATTTTAAAAATTGTTTATGGCGTTTGTTTAGAACTCTAATTGCTGGAAACTTCATAGCGTAGCCACAACTTACATACATCCTGTTTCATGCCTGGTAACAGTGCATGTTCGAAGTAATTTCTGGAACCCTCGAAGACGGAATGCCAAGCTTGTGCTCGGCTGCTCTAAAACCCGAACTCCTTGCTTCGCCATTACCACAAGCATGGCGAGAAATGTCCTGCAGGGGTTGCATAGCTAGTCATGTACTGGACTAGGGAAAAGGGAACAGATTCAATCTTTTGGTGTGCCCATTAAAATACTCAGTTGGTGATCTCCCCAGCAAAGGTTTGCGCTTTTTCCAGTGGGTTCGCGCGCCTATTTTGGGGTCCTTTTGGGGAACGCCGGCGCGCGAACCCAAGAAAAAAAATCAAAGTTCAGGGCTGAGCATTCAATATAAACACACACATATATATAGATATGACCCTTTTCTGTCTTAAGTGAATAAATTCATAGTTTCAACCCATTGGTCCTTGCTGCCAGCAAATTGCTTTGAGAAACTGACAGGGAATGAGGATCCCCTTCTGGCAAGAAGTAGTGTCGAAAGGTGGACCCGCGGCTTATCGTTATAAAGGTGGAACAGACCAAGCCAAAAGCGACTACCACCCCATCTTTGGAATTCAGAATGGCCGACAACAGCAGCCTTAGATCTGTGGATAAAAACGTTTTTGTATACGACGCGTGACTTTGCAGAAAAAGGGTGATCACATGTGAGCATATCTATATAGCATGCACCGGGGACCATACCTACGAAAATGTTGCAAATAAAAGCACAGCCAGGAAACCCAAACCCAGCTGGACACAAAAGGTTCAATGGGTTCCTTTTGCATTTTTTCCCCAACCGTTTTTTGGAACATAGGCGCTTTTGCATCCAAGGGTTCCAGAGGCCAATGTCTAGGCTGGCAGTGTCGTAGCCGCCCAACTGCAAGCAGCGGCTTAAAGAAGCCACGCCACAAAACACTTCCACAGCATCGTATACCTGCGACGTCAAGATGGGGACCAGCTCGCCCGCAATACTGTTCGGTACTAAGTTGCACATATATACATATGTATGTGTATATGATATATGTATATATATATTCTTTATATACATATGTGTTTGCATTAATCGTTCTCAGGCTTTCTGAGCAGGTATTTATGTATATACTCATACATATATTTATATATATATACATATGTACTTGTAGGCAAACGTAGCATGACTTGATCATGTGTATACAGAACATATGGAAAATAGTACAAGTGGACAGTATATATATATAAATATCATGCGTGCATATGCAATGTGAAAAGCTGGATGCTGACATCACCTGAACGGCAGCCCCAGATTCCCACAACTGCCTCAGCCCACTCCAATCCTTCAGTGTGCACCAGCAACACAATGGCCAGCAATAGAACCTTACATGTTTCAGAGCAGCTGGGGTTTGGTCTTAAAATTGAAAACCCAGAACTAAACAGTATAATATATATATATACATATAGGTATCCACTGTCTAGAAGCCGGCCTTAACCTGGACACCTCAAGCCAAGCAACTCTAGGCGCATCAAGAATGAGAAGTCTGCGGAGGATCTCACGGAGCTTTTTGTCAGGCATGGGCATGGCGAACCGAGTTGTCCCTCAAGACCCGGCCAATGTTCGCTATAGGCATTGCTGAGCCAATATAATAGTTGGAATGGCATT